CACAAGAATTTTAATTGTCAATTTTATGCAATAGAATTTAGGAATAAAAAGGAGTTTGTAAGTGTATTTGTGTGCCCTTCATGATATTTAAATATTTGTTACTAAAAGAAGTAAAGACCTTTATTTTAGAATTAAGAAGTTACAGTTTGCTTTAAGGGGGATGAGTAGGTGATGAAATGTAGCTGTTTCAAAAAAAGATCCTTTTCCTCTCTTTGTTAGTGTATGGTTAATTGAAAAGTTAGCGATGTCTGGTTATGCATTTCTCATCCCACCCTGTTGGGGGTCAGAGTTCTTGAGGAACTTTAGACTTTTCCAACATTTTGTTTCTTTTTTTTTTTCTTTTTTTTTTGAATCGATCTCCACTAACATCAATTTCAGTTTTTATTTCTTTCCTTACATTGCTGATGATTATTATTATTTGGCATTTTCATAAAACCAATTTTGTTTTCAATTGTTTGTAATAAGCTTTTCATTGAACTGTTTATTTTTTTTTTCTGAAATAAATAAGCAAAAATGTAACAGAAAAATGCAAAATTCTCATATTTCGTAGATTGCGAAAGAGAATACATGGTAAAAATCTTTTACAGATCAAAATTCTATTTCTAATGTATCTAACAAAAATCTTTCAACCGGATGTGGGAAATTACAAAAGTAAATAAAAAATAAATACATAAATAAACTCTAATTTTTAAAAAACATTTTTTGATTTAATTTTAAGGTCTTATTTGATTAGTAATATAACTTGTTAAAAATGGAGGGAGTCTCGCTTTTTATGCTTTATAGGTACAACAAAGCATAATTTTTTGCACTTTTTTGGATTTTTAAACTCTTTGTATCTGAACTGTCAAGAGTTTGTAAATTATTCCAATAAATCAAATTCATTCTCATTCATGTGTTTTAAATCATAATAATAAGCAGTTGGTGTAGGAAAAAAAACATTATAAGGCGAGAAATCAGTTTTAACCATCCTTTATTTTAACAACTGATCTAATAAATTTGTAGCTTACTTAATTAACTATATTTCGTGTTCGTGCAATAATGATGAAAGCTAAAGTATAAAAAGAAAACTATAAAAGAAAAATTAACGGTAATGAAATTGTTAAATCTTCTTATTTTGCATCTTCATAAATTAGTGAAATTCAATTCTTCTCTCATCTGGACACAAATGCATTAAAAGTTAGATTGTTTGTAATTCAAGCATTTAAATTTTTTAGTGTCTTAATTTTTATGAGTTAACTCAGAAACTTCTAAATGTATTTCATTTTTTAAATTAGCAAAAATGTTCAGAATGAAAAAATAATTAATGTACTCTGTTTTTGTTTAATTTTTAATTTATATAGAAAAATTTATAAACGGGCAATGTTTAGGGAGGAAAACTCCTTAATTCTTTGAGTAAATAAATAATAATACGTAGCAATACCATATGTTTCTCTCTAAATTAAAAAATCCTAAGGGCGTGGAAAACGCCTCTATTTTAGGTGTCTAAATTAAGACCGTATGCACCATTGCCAACTTCAATCTATGTTTTATTATCTGTATTTTGTTTTGTAGAGCAAAAACTATAAGATTTAGAAACATCAAATTACAAAGGGCTGTATAGAAATGTGCAAGGATTACGATGGAATAAAGCAAATGTTTAATCGATAATTTGTTAGAGAATTATTAACTTTTACACTTGGTGTTAAAAAATATCGTATGAGCCACTCTGATGGACACAAAAATTCCTCTACAGAATTGAAATTTTGTTTTACTGAGCAAAAACAACAAGATTTGAAATTACTATGGTTTATAGAGAAAAAAATACAGAGAAAATTTAACATTCGATAATGAGTATTATTAATTCTTTTACTTGTAAGAAAAAATACTATATTTGGATGATCTGTAAGCTGAGAAAAAGTATGATCGAAACTACCAAAATATTGCTAAGTTTACCATAATTCTTGCTCTATGGAAACACCAAAAAACTCAATAATTTTTACCAATGTGTTTTGGTACTGTTTTAAGTTAACAATAAAATAAAATTTTATAATGTTAGTTAAATTTTGGTAAAATATGGTAAATAATCATGTTAGCTAAGAGCATTTCCTTTTTATAAGCCTTTATTCAGTAAAATTAACTGTTTAGTTTTGTATTTTTTACTAAATGTGTGGTAATAAGAACAATATTTGTGAAAACCAGAATTTCTGGTAAACCCTTACAATTTGAATAGAAAATTTATCAAATTATTTTTTTTTAACCAGAAATGTCAATACTATACAGTTCTGTAATTTTACCCAATTTTTTTCTTCGTATTGTCCACTTAAATGTAATTAACAGTTAAAATTCGATGAGCTGAAAAAGCCATTTTTATATGTAAACCTAAAACGAATTTTCTTTTGAATTCTAATTTGTTTGAAAGTTATTGCAAATTTAAGTGTTCATTCGTGATTTTTTTTCAAGTATACAGTCGGATCCCGTTTTAGCGAATTCCATGGGACCGAAGCTATTTCTACGCAATAATGAAAATTCGTTATACCGTATTACGAATTTTGAACATTAACAAATATTATTTCGTTACATTGGGATTACTATTCGTATGAAAAATCAATTTACAGTTTTGATATTATATTTTTAATCTAGATTTGGGAAAATATCAATGTAATATTAAAAGAGCGCACAAAACTAATGTAAGCAATGAATTTATTAACACTTACTAATTAGGCAGATACATAATCAGTAATTTTTTTCTGAACAAATGATTTAGAACCAGTAGAAATTAAAAAATTTTCCAAATTATGCACATGTTCAAACAAAGTATCTGAAAAGTTTTTTTGTGCCGATAAATATCTCTTTACAGCTTCCAAATTGGCCAAGGCTTGTGAAGCTGTAGGTACATTGTTTTCTTCTGGACATTCTTCATCATCGCTGCTGTCCAAAAGTGATTTTTGTTTGTTTTCTTGAATCATATGTAGAATATCATTCACTGTCGATGCTTCGCATGTTCTAGCATCATCATCTGCAGTCAGAAAATCGTCAAGACTGACTTCGTTTGGCACTGATGTTTCTTTTGTCACATGTACCCATAAAGGCTGAAAATCGATGATAACATCATTAATTTCATTGACTGTTTCATTGTCAATTGCCGAAATTAAATTTGCTTTCTTCCGTCCATTACAGATGACTTTTTGGCTAATGTCTTTCCATGCTCCAGCAATCATATCCATGCTCCAGCAATCCATTGCTTGCTTTACATCTGGTTTCGTAATTGCTTCTTTGTTTCCTATTTGCACAAGCATACGCCTCAGAAGTTGTGTTCGATATTTTCCCTTTACCACTTTAATTATACACTGGTCAAGAGGTTGTAAAATTGACGTACAATAGGAGGAAAGTATTCGATGTGAATACATTCCAATTTTGGTGGCTCATTGTGGGGTGAACAATTATCAATAAGAAGCAGAATTTTTCTTTTCTTACATTTCCAGACGTGCCAACTCTCCCGCATTTTGCGGGAGTCTCCCGAATTTTGAGTTATTCTCCCGCCCTCCGGAATTGATTTGAAAAACTCCCGAATTTTACTGCGATCGACGGCCAAACTCAAAATTACCTAATTTTTCCGCGAGTACGAAGGTAAGTTTTTCTTTCAGCTTGAATTCCATCCCCTCTTATCAAACTACCATCTGCCTGAAGCGTAGCTGAACATGCTTTATTTTCCCCCCTCTTCAACGTTACCTCTAAAAACACTCCTATTTCACCCGCCCCCTTACACTGGGGGCGGGTGAAATCTTCCTCTTCTTTCGTGTGGAGTTGAATGCAATGACGTCACATGTCGTTATCGAGTGACGTCCGTTCAGGAGTGGGGAAACTCGTACTCTCGATAGTTGGAATTGATATTGTATCTTGCTGTTTTTATAGTTTTTAATGCGTATTTTTCCACGGTTGGCAACAAGCTCGTAAACTAGCAACGTGATATCAATTATTCGTTTAGTCTTCGTATATTTAAAAAAAAAAAATTTCAAGGATGTCTTAAGTCGAAACGGAAGTATGGATCAATTTCAACAAATCATGTACCAATGACTTTAGCAAGACTTAATTGCGGAGAGCTAAGTCTGCAACTCTTTTTTTCATGCATACAGTAGAGAACCATTTATCTGGTATCCAGATAATCCGGAAAAAAAATTTGCTCGGTTCTCCCGCCATTTTGAACTAAAACGATATGAAAAAAAAAGCGGAAACTGGACTAATCCTTGAAGTTGAGTAGAGGAAAATGTGAGGAAGGGAAGAATTTTTTTCCCCGTTTACCCAGAGAAACGTCATTTCTTCCGCGACCTTGAAGATTTTAGATCTTTATTCTCTTTTAGGTCGTTAAACTCAAAGGAGTGGCATGATGATTTCGTTTGCTAGTTTGATTTACGAGGGGGTGGGGAAAATGCATTGCACATGCATATCAGTGAACAGAAGATGAAAGAGAAAAATATATTTATCTATTTGACATCGATTAATAAAAATAAAATGTTTTTCTTTTGAATAAATTCTGATTCTTTGGAAGTGCGGTATCATTCGCAAGTTTTTCTTGATGTGGAATCACACCTGCTTTAATTAAAAATCGCGTTTTTATAAAAAAAAAAAAAAAGGAGAATTGTTTATTAATTTAAGCATACAATTATTTTATGAAGCAGATTGCAGTTTCGTTTTTCTGATTCCACTACGTTTTTTTTTTCTTTTTCATGATAAATTTTGCACTCAATAAAATTATTTGTATTACCAAATTTTTTCATTAGTTTTTTTTTTTTTTTAAGTCCGTTGATCTTGCCTTGTTCTAGGTTTTAATATTTATGCTAGTGCCGTTTTTTAACTATCGTTTCGGTTCGATAATTTTCAAGTGTTGTTTTTATTTAGATTAATAGGTTTTCCTTTTATTTTCGCCCCCCCCCCCATGAAATATATTGCGTTATTTAATCATTGGTTTTGTTTATTAGTTGATTTAGGAATCGTAATTATTTTTTAAACTTGTTTTTCTTGTCTAAACTTGCAAATTTTTTTATTCTTTTAAATTTTATTTTTCTACAATTTTTTTCCTTTTTAGATTTAGGAGTGCTTTTCTTTTTTCTCTTACTTTAAAATGTGTTTACATTTTTTCCTTGTAATTTGGGTTTGATAAAACATCGATTAACGACACTTTTTTGTCGATCCAGGAAACCGGGAAATTAAGACATCCGGGATAGCGATGGTCCCGAGCATCCCGGATAATTGGTTCTTTATTGTACAGACATTAGTATTGAATTGGTTTTTTAAAATAAAATACTTATTCAATTTGTTTATTTTTTAAAAGTTTTTGTGTATTTTTATTACAGTGTCGGGTTTTTGAATAATGTTTTATTAAGGAAATGGTATTTATTTAAAGAGTATCTACCTAATATAGTTTTGTGTTGCTAAATCTGTGTTTAATTATTTTATTTCCATTTAATATTTTTAAACAATTATTGCTCTATTAGTGTGTAAAATTTCTTGCATTCTTATATTTAATAAATTTTTTACTTAAAATTCCTTAGAAGTGCCAAATGTTGCATACCATGCACCTTTTTTTACCCCTCCTGAAATCTCCTGAATTCTTGTTAGGGAAACTCCTGAATGTTAATTTTGCTAGGTTGGCTGGCACGTCTGCATTTCATATCTTCATCAAACTTAACCAGCCACTCATTAAATATTCCAGTCGTCATCTACGCTTTGCGGCTAGATCTATAATCATAAGGTAGTGAATTTACATTTTTTAGGCACCTAGGTTTGGCAGATTTGCCGATAACCATAACTTTTCTCTTTTCAGTGCCTGACATATTGCAGCAAAACAAAGCAGTTAAACGCAGTTTTGAAATTTTGCCTCCAATGCATTTATCCTTTTTAAACGCCAAGGTTTTGTTTGGTAACAACTGGAAAAAAATTCCCGCTTCGTCTGCGTTGAAAACATCAGAAGGATCATAAGACCTAATTGCATCCGATATTTTTTCTGATTTCCAGTCATTCACAGCTTTTAAATCAACAGAGTTAGCTTCACCACAAATTTGCTTTGCAACAATACCATAACGTTCCTTGAATCGATTCAACCAACCAAAACTTGCTTGAAAATTTTCGTTTCCAAAAGTTCGTGCAAATTCTAATGCCTTTTCACGAATGAAGGGCCTGGAAATTGGAATGTTTCGAGAGCGAATATCCTGGAACCATGTAAAAACAGCTGCATCTACATCTTGAAAATTTGAAAGTCGTATCTTTTTTCTATGTAATCCGATCAATGCTGATTGCACTTGCTGTTCCAACTTCGTTCGATTTTTTAAAAAAGTAGATGGGTATAGTCCATACTTTGTCGCAACGTCAGCTTTTTTTATCCCATGATCAACTTCTGAAATAATTTCCAGTTTTTCCTTAATGGAAAATTGTTTACGCTTTTGACCACTCATTATGCTTAAGAAGGAAAAAAAATGCTTGCAAACGTTGAAAGCAGACAAACCGATTTAACTAACCTTCTCCTATTGAAGTTGCACACCACTCTGGTAATTTTCTGAAACTTGTTTACACCCCTTTTACACCTTGAGCTCTTAGAACAGCTCTCCCCCCCTATTTAGTCTGTTGTAATTCAAGGAAGGAATTGTTCTGCTAAGGGTGGTCACTTCTAATCTATCATTCTTGACAAGCCCTTTCTATTGAATAGAATTCCCTCTTTTAAAAGCATGTGTATTTTGACTTCTTAAAACATGAATGAATCAATGCAAGGGTCAACTCAGGGTGGTCTCTTTCCAGTGATTCTTCTTTTTTTGACAGGTTTTTCACATTTGAAACTTATTAGTATTTTAAGGGTGATAAAACATTTCATTTCTGAGAATATTTTTGAAGAAATGTGACTTGTTCATCAAAGAAAATAAGACCTGGTGTTCATTTTCGCCTTCGCTAAATCGGATAATTGATTTCGTAATACCGGTATTTTTTATACATTGTTCACATGGAAATACATTTGGGGATTCGGAAAATATTAGTTACTTTGAAATTTCGAATTTTGCAAAAACGGGATTCGACTGTATTTTAAATACTGACAGTTTATTCATTTTTGTAGAAAATTTATATTTTCGTCAGGAGTTCTTTATTTTTTAATTTTGTAAACTCAGACTGAACTGAATAAGTTTTCCATTCAGAGTAGCGAAAGAGAGAGAGAGAGGAATTTTCATATTGCAAGATATAAATATCAACAGTTATATTGACATTTTTAAAAATAAATAAACTTAACGATAAAAAGTGTTCTCAGTTTGAATTGTTAAAATTCTCGTCAGCAAATAAAATAATTTCTCTGCAATTTTTCTTGTTTTATTGTTGTGATGCACAATCTGTATTCCTTAGATTAAATTTTCTTTAAAGTGCTGATGATTATTTTCAAGTTGAGGTGGTACTACACTTGTACATTTTAAAAGCAAAATGTTCTGTGTTTCAGTTTAAAATATTGCTTTTTAAGGGAAGAAAAATAAAACAAGGATTTAAGAGAAACAATTACGTGGTTAGGTGATCGGAAGCGGGGGGAGGCAGACACTCCCTGTTTTCTTTTTTTAATTTTCGTATGGAACAATTCCTCAACAGAAAGAATTAATAATATATATTAATAATACATATTAATCTTATAGAGAAAAAGGATTTTATTTTTCTGCGCAGCAAATCAAAACATTCATGTAAGCATTATTTCCAAGTGTATAAGTATAAAAAGAACACAAATAAGTTTTGACTTAATGCAATTATTTAATTCCGTGAGTTCGTTTATTGTCGGCAGTTAACTAAAAGTTTTGGTTATTTAATTTATTTTTCCTTTATAACACCAGAAATTGTTTTTAATAATTTTAAAATATATATTGATCTTAATTTGAAGACATCTTACTGTCTCGCATTTTTAAAAAGAATCATTTAAGTGACCTTGTTTCGATTCCCTCAAGTTAAGGGAAAAAGAGAGGGGATAGCGAACGCTTAGCACTTTAAACCCCCCTCCCCATTCTAAGAAATATTCTTTCAACCAGGTGGTCATTGCAGTTATGCCACGGGCCAAAAGAATCAATGGTCGCCAAGAAATTTGAAAAAAAGGGGATAAATGATGAAAATGGTCCCCAACTTCAAAAGGGGTCTCATTTCTGTTTTATTGCAAGGACAAGTAAGTAACAATCTTTTATTCTATAGCTCATGTTATATTTCAGTACACTTTTATTTATTCATTAAATAGCTTTTCACTAGTAGTTTGTTTTTATTATCTTTATTTAGTTTTTAGCAATTATATTTCATAATAGTTATATTCTGCAAGAATGTTTCTTCGTATGATTAGCATGTAAGTTACCATTTTAGTTTTAAAATGAATTGCAAGTTCCATTAATCCTAACTATAGAAAAATGATTTTTTAGCTATTTAAATCAAATGCTTCTTTATTTTTTTAAAAAGTTATTAATTTAATAATTATTTAAATTAATTTACTTAGTTTAATTACTATATTTAATTTATTAGAAAAATCGGTAGTCATTTTTACCAGGACTATGTATTGACGGCGCGTTTCACCTGCTGTTTCAAATAAAACTTCTGATCAGACCTAAGAGGTTTTCTTCAAATATTTTTCTGACCACTAAAAAAATAATAAATGGTATTAAAATTTTATAATTTTTCATTTATCATACAATTTAATTTTAGTAATTTTCTGATTAGAGTTTTTTAAATTAAAAACGGTTAACAATCTAAAAATCTTCTCACATTTGCTTTAACTTCTAAATTTTTTCGAACATTTTTAAAGTCAATTAACTGGGAAAACAGTATTTCTAAGTTTGCTTTGTAATTGTTTTTTATTAATGTTATATTTTATTTTTTTGCATGGAAGGAAATGCTGGAAGAAAAAATCTTTTGGAAGAAAGGTCAAGATAAAAGGTAAGAACATCTCAAATCTTTATATTAAGAGCAAAATTTAAGATTAAATTTTTCATAAAATTAGATTATTACTTTACTGTTAAAAAAATATATTTTTTAAAAATTTTTTAATTTTTTTTTTTTTTGAAAAACCTTTTTTTTTGGTTTGCTAGCTAATAAGTACATTTATAACGAATGGTAAAAAAAAAATTGGCCCATATCTTTGTGTACAAAATTGTCAGGAAATTTGATTTTAGGTAAACAGACAATAAACCTGAAATATAATTCATTCCAAAATTCACGTTAGCACTAGGTAGCCAATGAAGTTAAAAATAATTAAGATAAACATCTACTTTATTATCCCATGAAAGAAATCTACTGTAACATATTTGCATTTTTTAAAATTATTTAATATAAGATTATTTTTTGTGGAAATACATTCAAAGTTCTTTTTACGTATAGAGATATTTGCAGCATAATTTTTTTTTTCTTCATGGGATTAAGTTTTCTGTATTAAATAATAACATTTTCTTAATAACAGATAAAATCTGATGACTGACTACTTTAAAAATTTTTTTTCCAGTTTTTGTGCTAATTTTACTATTTATCTAATCTTATTTATCTTTTTCTTAATATATTATTTCGTTCTCTGTCTTAAGATTTATAGGGTTGTTTATTTCAAATCTCTTCCTGTTGAACCTTCACCCATTGAAATTTTATTTTTAAAATAGCATTATACTTGATATATTTTCCGTAAAAAAAAGTAACTTTAATTGACTGTTGAATGTACAGTGGAAAGTCGCGTATCCGGAATCGGCGGGACTTCCCGAAGTCCGTATATTTGATTTTTCCGTATAATTGACCTCTAAGGTAAACAAAGCTTANCTTCCTTATTCTAGGAGGTATTGATATAGGACGTTACACTGTATATATATTTCTGATGATTACTATGTAGTGCAAAAAATTAATCTAAATATTTTTTGAAATTATAATGGAAAAGTCAAGGAATTTTATTTCTTAAATTAAGGGTAACCCGGACAAAAGTAATATTGGACTATTTTAGTATCTGTAATTCGAATAGACTTCTATGTCTGTTATGCCTGATTTTTTTTATTCATATCTTATTCTTTTTCTAAATTTGAATTAGAAAACAAAATTTAAAAAAGAAAATTTTTCACTTTAATACTACATCATGTTATAAAAGAATTATAACTTATAATTTCTTAATAATTGTCATTTATAATATTTGATTGATTTGATAATGTAATTTTATTATACATATTAGGAAGCATTTATCTAAACACACATGTTACCCCATTTTAGAAAAAGATGCATAATAAGTTAAGACTTAAAATTCTATTCTTTACTTAAGATGTAAACTTGTCCTAGAAATTAACCCTTTCAATTCTGAACTATATTTTATAGCATTTGCCTAGTGTAATTATTTTAAAAGCAAGATCATCAGTAGTTAATACTAATTTACGATAAGCATTGAGCATATACAAGATAGATAGTAAACAAACTTATTGTCAGATATATTGTATAGAAAATAGTTAGAAGCAGTTTTTTTTTTCAATTCATTGTTTTTACTTTGTTGATTTTTAACTGTTTTTTCTATGGTCATATTCTAAATATTTTTTTTCTTTCATGAAAAGTCTGGAGATTCTGACTGGAGAGACTGAAAATAGCCATCAACAGAAAAAGAAAAGAAGGTAAGAACATGTTAAAACTGCATTTTAACTTAGTGGCATCATCCATTTTATATTCTATAACTTGTGGTATTCTTTGTATTATCGAAATATTTTATGATTATTAGTAAATAATTGTTTATAATTTTAAAGAAAATATTTTTTTAAATAATTAAAATTTTTTAATCAGAATACTTATTTTTGATTATCAAAAGTACTTTCCTAAAAAATTTGCTAGTTTATTTTTGACTTTTTTAAAAATTGACCACGCACTAGACTAACAAACATATTATACACATACTAGACTAATATTAAAAATTTTAAACATACTAGAATTATTTATATTTGTTAGGGAGAAAACATTTTTTTAGTCAAATGATTTAATTTCATCATAACTTATCTAATTTTATCTAATTCTAAATTAATTAATTTAAATTTCTCATTTCAATTCCGAACTATATTTTATAATATTTGCCTATGGTAATTATTTTAGAAGCAAGATCTTCAGTAGTTAATTATAATTTACGATAAGCCTTGTGCATGTACAAGATAGCTGGTAACCATTAAACTTATTGTTAGATAGATTGTATAGAAATGAGTTCAAAGCAATTTTTTTTTCAATTTAATGCCTTTATTTTGTTGATTTTTAACAGTTTTTTCCATGTTCATATTCTAATTATTTTTCTTCCTTTCATGAAAAGTCTGGAAATTCTGACTGGAGAGTGTGAATGAAAACTGTTGGAAGAACTAGAATAGCCATCAACAGAAAAGAAGGTACGAACATGTTAAAACTACATTTTAACTCAGCAGTATCCATTTTATATTCTATAATTTGTGGAATCCATTTTATAAATTCATAGCGAAATTAGAAAATTTACTTTATATTCTATATGTAGAACTGTATTTTTAATAATTTCTTCTACAATAATTTGTATCATTGAAATAATATTTTAAGATTATTAATAAATAATTGTTTATAATTTTAAAGGAAAATTTTTATAAGGAAATGAAGGGAATATATATATTTTTTTTAATCTAAAAATTTTTAAATCAAAATACCTGTTTTTGATTTTCAAGAGTACTTTCCTAAAATTTTAGCTTTTTATGTTTTTTTAAAAATTAGGCCTATAGAATTACTTGTTAGAGGGAAAGAAATTTTTTAGTCAAATGATTTGATTTTATCATAGCTTATATGTTATTTTAAAGTAAATTTCTTTTCATAATATTCAAATGTGAATTTAAAAATTATTACATAGTTGTTATTAAGTGCTATGTTCTGTTATAATATATATGTATTATGTATATTATTTTGAAAATATTTTAAAAAAATGAGTAAAATCATAATAAAATGCAAATTAGTTTACACTGATAAATTTTAGACAAGAACTTTATTTCTATTTATGCTTTTGCTTTTGATTGCAACAAGTCTCATGTTTTTTTAGCAAGATAAAATGTTGCTGTGACTTTTTTTTTATTTTGTTCAATAATCACATTATTTAACTACCCATGCAGCATGAAGGGGCAAATAAACGTTAAAAATATGTTCGTTCGGTATAAGGTTTTGGACTTAACGTTAAAATTACGTCAATTTCACGTGATGATTTTCACCGTTTCTTCATTCGTTAAAACGTATGCGTTAAAATGACGTTATTTTAACGCTATCAATTTTCCCTTTAAATATTTCGTTAAAAATGAGTACTAAAAATACGTTATATTAACGTGTACATTTTACTCATTTTTTTACCGATTTTTAAAAACGTTTTATTAACGAAAAAGTTACGCTTTGTTGCATAGTTATGTTTACGTTAATTTTTTGGGATTATAAACGTAAATTCAATGGTAAAAATGTTTCTAAAAAAGAATGTGAGTGCCCAAGAAGGATATTATTTTACGTCTCTCTTAAATTTGAATAAACTGAACAGTGTAGATTTTTATTACAATTTGTATTCTATTTTTAAATACTTATAATTATTTTTGTTTATTTAAACTGGAGATAAATATTTGTTTGTTGATAATATTGAGTCTGCTCATTGTCAATAACTGACAAGGAAACTATGAGTTTTAATTCTTATGAAACTAAACTAAGATGAAATTAAAGAATTTCCAAAATACTGAATAAAGTAAAAATTTGTTACAACTTGTCATGTAACGAACATAATAACGTAAAAACACATGATTTAAATTTAAATCTTCTTTGTCAGGTACAAGAGTCGTGGTGTAGTGGTTAGAGCGTTCGCCTCAAAGGTACGTTGTTGTAGGTTCGGTCCTACTCGGAACTTCGGTGGAATGTTGAGTTCCGGATCTTGCAATTTTTTTATTCAAAGATCATAAATTAAAAGACTATATATTTTTTTAATTATGTAAAAATTAATTCTCTTTTTTTTATATTGAAATTATCGCTCTCCATATGAGTTTTTAAAAAATAATTATAATAAATTACAAAGAAATTTATCTACTTTTAAATTCCATGTTCTTATTGCAATGAAAGAAGCATTTACTTTATTTTAAAATAATGATTTAATGTTTTTTTGTATCGCCTAAAAAATGTATCAATCTTGTTTCTTTAAAGTAGTATATATATTCATTACTGAAAGAGAAAAAAAGCATACGTATCAAAAGACAGATAAAAAGGAATTCTCATAATTAGTTTTCGTAATAAAATTTAGTGTAGGAAGTTTTAAAATATTTGTTGTTATTAAAAAACGTTTTACAACACAACAACATTTTTACAAATTTATTGAATTTTGCTTTGAATCTTGAATTTTATAATCTAGAAATTATTTAAATATAAAATCTCAATTGCAATGAGTAAATTATTTATGAAAATCATATATAGTAAAAAATAATATAAATTTATAAAATATAAAAAATAATATAAAATAGCATAAAATATAAATAATAATTGTAAGTTTTGTTGTAATGTCAGAAAAATAATTTTTTTTATAAGAGCAAGTAATGATAATTCTTTATTTCTTTGCAAAATATTATTTATGAGTGAGTTTTTGTGTATGTGAAATTGAAGTACTTTTAAAAATAGTTAGAGCGTTAGTTCGGTTTAT